TCAAACGTTGACTTTTGTCGCAACGCGTTGACTGGCGTTGACCTAGGGTTACGCGTTGACCGGCGTCCATCCTAGGGTTTTGATTTGTCAATGGTTGACTTTTGTTGCAACGCGTTGACTGGCGCGTTGACCGGCGTTGACCCTTAGGGTTTTGATTCGTCAAAGGTTGACTTTTGGTGCAACCCGTTGACTGGGGTTGACCTAGGGTTACGCGTTGACCGGCGTCCATCCTAGGGTTTTGATTTGTCAATGGTTGACTTTTGGAGTCCCTCAATATTCAACCATTGGTGAAGAATCAGAGTGTTTCGGGGTTTTAAAAAAAACAATTTAGGGGTTCAAAACAGGTTCAGGGGGTCAAAACAGGTTCAAGACACCCCGGGGGTGTCCCGACAAAACCGGGACACCCTGGGGTGTCTCGGTTTTGCCGAGACACCCCATGGGGGTGTCTTGCTTTTTTCATGGTCCCCCCCCCTTTTGTCTTTTTCTTCATTTTGTTTCCCCCCTCTTTGTTTTCTTTCTTGTTTGAATTTGTTTCCCCTTTTGTTTTCCCCCCTCTTTTCAAAAGAGAATTCATCTTCTTCCTCCAAACCTCCTCCATTGTTTTTCTTTCAAGAGCTCCATACCCCAAAGAAATTCGGTTTTTTGTATGCTCCTTCTTGGCCGAAAATTTTCACTTTTCACTAGGGTTTCTCCCTCCACCTTCAAGCTCGGATCTTGACTCTTGGATTGGGGATTTCAAGCCTCTTGATTTGGGTAAGCTCCTCTTCACCATCCTCTTATTTTGTGGTAAAGGTTGCATTTTTATTCTTGTGGTAGACTAGGGGGCATGTATGCACTATTATTTCGGGGGGTTTTGTGCAAAAAGAGGTAATGGCCGAAACTTTGGGGGGTTTATTTGCAAAATTCGTGGGGGTTTATTTGCAAAATGGGACTGAAATTTTGAGGCTTGGATTTCATTCCCCTTTGGTAACAATTTGGATGGGTGTTTCATGCAAAAAGACCATACCTTATTGAGGGTTTTATGTGCAAATGTGGGGCCGAAAAGTTTTGGGGGCTTATTTGCAAAAGTGGCCGAAGAATTGGGGTGGTGTTCATGTAATAGAGGACTGAAGTTTAGGACCTAAATTACATGTTCATTTGGCCACAAGCTTGAGGGGTATTTTAGGCAAGAGGACCAAAAGTTGTTGGAGGGGTTTATTTGCAAAACAGCCCATAAATGTCTTAGAGGGACTTATTTGCAAAAGGCAGTGAACTTATGGCTGAAATCCAATGAGTTTTGACCACGAACTCATGATCAAAATTTTGATAAGGCATGTGGAGCCCAAACCAAGATTTTGTAGAGGGGCTTTTATGCAAAATTGGCTGAATTCTGCAAAAGGGCTCATTTGCAAATTTTAACCAAAATTGTGGGGTACCGGGGTGTTATATGATCGAATGTGACGATCATGACCCGGGTCACGCGTGTCCTTGACCTAGATTTTGGCCTTGAACACAAAGGGTATTTTGGGTATTTCACCAAAATTCACCGTGAAAGATGACAATCATCGTGCACGAAATTTGTAGGTTTAATTAGACTTCAATTATGAAATCCTATTTGTGTATAGGATTTTAATTAAAGTTCTTAATTTCCCTTTTAAATTTCGTATATTCATGTTTTAGATTGTACCTGACTTGCTGCTTTTCGTTGCAGATTTGCAATGTCTCCGCGTCGATCTCGTCCCCGGAGGAGCCGTTCTCGTTCACAGCATAGTGAGGAGGAGGTCCCCACGACATCCTCTCCCGCGGCTTCATTTTTCGGGGGTGAGAATTTATGCAGAGATTTTGTCTTACATCCCTGATTGACCTCTTTGCGGGTCATGAAGGAAGAACCGATACCTCTCTCGCGGAGGGTAAGGTTTCAGACTTGTTTTGCTTAGCCAATTCAAGTCTTCGGATATATTGGGGCGATTTTGTGTTGTCCTACACCTTATAGGTCGGTGTACGTTACCACGTTATTCACGTGATGACGCATGCCGTCCTTCTGGTGTAGGTCACTCAAAATCGTCTCTCCAATTATTCCGTGGATGAGTCTATCATTCTTCTTACGAGATGGATTTTCTGATTCCGCCCTTGTGCTTTATTGCAGTGGAATTTCCCGCGGGTAGCCTTCCTCCTCACGCCAACACCGGATGTAGTCGGGAGGTTTTCTCTTCCGCTACTCTTAGGCAGGCTGTTGGCCCACTTCCTCGGTTCGACGGGGATCGTCCAAATGACTCTTGCCGTTCGATACAGGAAGGAGGGCGCCATTGCTTGCGCCAACTTATCACAGATGCCTCCTTCACCCCTGATTCTACTTCCACTCAGGTTCTAAAGAAGCCGGGTTTTCTATTTGGAGATCATGTCAGGGATCCTGCCACGCTGACTCTTTGTGAGGAGCATTGGTTAACTCTTGACGGTGGAGCCTGTTTGTACATCCCTTCGATTCCACGCCACTATTCTTTCAGTCATTTGAAGGGGCAAGCCGTGGACCGGCAGATGTCTTGGCATCTTACTGAAGATGCTGATCGGGTTCAATGCGGATATGCTACTCACCATAAGACTCCTGGCTCTGAGGGGTATCATGACGTGCGTGGTCTACGACCCGGGATCATGGGTCTTGATACTGCACCCCCAGGCGAGGTGTCAGCTGCTGCTCCGACTGTGAGCAACCGTCTGGCTCTTCTTGGGAGACAGTTACCCCCATCGGAGTACAGATGTTATGGCTGGGCTTCCTCCCTAGCCAAAGGGTGGTGGGCGCGCATGACTGGTTTCGTCTTGGCGCGCTGGGAGAGGGATCTGAAGAGCAGTGGGTTGTATGCACCCATACGAGCTACTATGTACGGCATCCCAGTCAGCTGTCGCCATTTCTTGGCTTTGCTGGAGACTTATGTGCCCGATAGCAACACCTTCCTGACCAGCGGAGGTGAGCTAGGGTTGGCCTTGCACGAGATGCATTATGTTTCGGGTCTTCCGATGGGGGACTGTCCGTATCAGGAGTATTTCCCTACGAACCAGCAGCTGGAGTGTATGAAGAAAGATACTCCGGACATGTATGACACACTCTGGGATCTTACTTGCCACTACTACACTTCCTTGATCCAAACTTCTCCCTAAGCGAGAAGGAAGAGGCAGATCAGCTTGAAGCAGTTTGCCAGCTACTTGTTTCAGAACTTGGATGGTGATTCTAGTGCGCCCATTCATGAATTAGACGTGATGACTCCTTCGGCCGTTAATGAGTTGTTGGAAAAGGCTGAGGTTCGTTCCTACACTATCGGCAGTGCTGAGGGGGCTTTTCCCGCGGGGACAAAGTTTCGCTCTTTTCTCCGCCGCGCACAGAAGTCCATAGGGCCCCGGACTCTATTAGCAGGCTACCTTGCCCTTTGGTTGAAGAAATGCGTCGTCCCGCACCAGCCTTCAGACGCTCTGCCCATCGAGGTGCTCTTCCCTGCAGTTCAGCTGGCTTATGGGAGAGAGCTTTCCCTGCTCCCAGCAATGGTTGCTAGCATCCATTGCGGGCTCAGGGGTCTGGTCAGCAGTTTCACACATATGGGTTCTGAACCGTCAGCTGAGCTGGTTTGTCCGAAGGTTGAGCTCCCTTACGCATATCTGATGGCGTGGCTCGTTTTTCACCGTCCCGACTTGATGTCGGCCCCCAGCGTTGTTGACATCCCTGTCCCCTTCATGCAATTGTTGGAGCAGAGCAGATGGTTTGGGAGCAAATTTAGTGATGTTCAGCGAGAGCTCCGGGTCCGCAAGAGTTGGGAGTTCTTTAAGTGTTTCCCTCACTTTGAGGAGAAACCTAGAAGTGATCGGACCGTTCTTGACGCTGGTTGCTTCCGGTGGTTAGTGAACATCCGTGTAGGCTATCTCGTCCTTCGGGTGAAGAACCAGTGCCACATAGAGCCTTATCTCCCTTGCCGCTTTGCTCGACAATTCGGCTATGACCAACTGTATGTCGGGAATCCGAGCCGTAGCCTGCAGGTTGAGGGAGGATTGATTGATGGCGTACGAGCGTGGCTGTGGACGATGGTGGGCTGCACTGGAGCCCGTTTTGCTCTCCCTTCATATCGTCGTAAGCCATTGATTACTTTCCTCAGCTGCAAGTGGTTCCTTTCTGCCTATGAGTCCATCAGTGTGAGGAGCCTCTCAGAATTACAGTCCGAGTACGCGGTCCGGGCTGCTATGATGGCTGGTCGCAGGGCTGAGCTTGCTCAGAAGCGGAGAAAAGGGCATACCAAATCTCTTCTCACAGACGAGGAAGAACTCCTCCCTACGGGTGACGATGACGAGACCTCCGAGGAAGAATATGTGGATGCAGATACCGGCAGAGGGGATCTCGATACCGGTTTGTCCTGCCCCTTTTGTTTTCCTTTTCCATAAATGATAGCTCTTATTCATTGAATGAAATGGCTATTGTCACTTTAGGTAGGACGATCGATGATCATGAGCCACCAGCTCCTACACACGTTGAAACGTGTGATAGGCCTGCGCATGCTCGACCAGTTGGTCCTCGGAGGGTTGGTGCCCCGAAGAGGAAGAAGACCGCCCATAAGCCCCACGACGGTCAGCGTCCCTATGGAGTGGACTTAGGAAGCATCGCCGATGGAGGGGAAGGTAACATTTAATTGCTCTTGCTTCAAGGTTGTTTACCTTTTGGGATTTGTAACCATGTTTTGTGCTCCAGGTTTCTTTGAAGAGGGCGAACTCCCACCGAGTCCGGCATCTCCTGGTGTTGATAACATGGATTGCTTTATGCAACAGATGTGCGACGCCCTTCACGACGGGTCTTTGGGTATCGATCTAAACATCGATCTTGAGCAGATGAATAATGTTGAGCCCACAGTCCCTTATTCAGGTATATTTACATCCAATGTTACCTCCCTCAAGCGTGGGAAAGGAAGATCTCCCGTTTTTTTTTTTTTTTGCTGAAAGTATCTTCTCGAGCTTTCCTCATCTTTCAACATTCAGGTTACCCTGTAGATGTTGCGATGGAAAGGCCAAGTTTCTCGAGGCCCGATGCCGGCTTATTAGCTGACATGCTGGCTGAGCAGACTTCCAGAGGAACCGAGAGACCATTCTTTGGGAATGATTCATCCACCGGTATATATCTGATTCTCTTCCTCTTGCCCGATCTTTTATCTGACTAACGAATGATTAATTATTGCAGCGTCAACCATTGGAGTTAGCCCGATATCGATCCCTGGCATATCCAGCTTGCCTCAAAGTGACGGGTTCGCAGGTACGCATACGATTTAGGATATGAATGCAATCATAGGACCAGCCGCTGGGACTGATTCTCATACGACTCCGGGTATTCCTCAAATGCCTACGGATGATGGATCTACAGGTATGCAGATGACTTCATTATCCCAATCCTCCTTACTCGTCTAAATTTTCATTTTGACTAATAAGAGGGTGCCATCATAGGACCAGCCACTTGGGCCGATACTCTTATGACTCTTGGCATTCCGGCTGCCTCTGAGGACGAGTGAATTGCAGGTATGCAAACGATCTTTTTGTCCCGATTCTCCTTATTTGTCCAAATTTCCATTTGACTAA